GGCTTATTTTTAATTATGTATCGATTTTGTATCTAGCTTTGCTCTACATCTATATCAATTCCTTTTGACAACCTTTGTGGTTTTAATTTGTTCTCCGCTGAAACTAGTTTTTGTCGGGAGTATTGCTTATAGATAAAATGTTTTCTGGAAAACAAATCCGAAACTAAAAAATATTCTGCTAGTATTTTAGTTATTGCCAAGAAGCATAGCTAAAATACCGGATTATAGTAGATATTGACTAATTTACAGCTATTTTTCCGACTAACGGGCCTGAACCTATTTTTAAAAAAGAAAAACAGGTGAAAGCTCCCTATTTTATTTTTTTAAATTATTTTGTATAAGAGATAGGAATTGTCGGTATTTGAAACTCTCTGGAAATTGCCTAACCTTAAGTTATTTTTGATGTACCATCTTTTTCTTTCTGCCTTTTCATGGTTTTTTTTTGTTCAATCTATTTGTTTGAGGGTATTTTGCTCAAACAGTTATCCAAGAAAATATGCAGTTTTTTTTTAAAGATAAAGGAAAGAAGTTGTTAATAAAAATTATTAAAAAGGAAAAACTGAGCTCTGATAACCTATAATATTGATCCAATATAACGAAACACAGAAGTTTGAGGTAAAATTTCCAGTTTTACAATGCTTGATAGAGCAGAGTGTACTTTCAATTGGTTGTTATCAAAAAACAGTTATTTGGCTGTATGTGAATGTATGCTTGTGTGTATGCTTGTGTGTATGCTTGTGTGTGTGTGTGCGTAGGAGGGAGGGGGTATATTTTGTTTCCTTTTTGCAAACCTAGAAACCGGTCAATAATAGTCAGGCCAGCTGTGCTCTTGTCCCGATGCCAACTGTGGGCCTATTTCTCACATTTAATTTATAAAACGAATTCAAGAACAAAGGCAAGAAAGGGCGAGAGAAGCGCAGAAACTGAGAGAGAGAGAGCGAGCGAGAGAGAGGGGAAGAACTCGTTTGCGAAAAGAAAAAACAAAAAATAACAGAAATAAAGCAGTATAAAGCGAACGACCCGAAAATACTTACGAACTGCTCAAGCTCAGCTCCGGAGCTCGCTGTGAAGCTCGTCGCGACGATCGATCGATGGATTGGTTTGAACCAGTTTTGGCTGCAGGATATTGAGCCATAAAAAACGGGCAGGCCACAAACAAGCAACAGGCAGCAACAGTGAGGAGAAAACTCGTTTCTTCTTTGAGTTTCATTCGATTCGATTTAGTCCGTTGCCTTCCCTCTCGCCCCACTCCCACGACCCCACTTGCCTCTCTTCCCCTACACACACATACACTCACATGCAACGACAGCGATTTCGCTGCTAGTTTGCAGAAAGTTTGCTGTTATTGCCTTGGGTTTAATTGTTATCGGCGATTTATATTCTTTTTCCTTAACAGCAGTGTTTAACGGTACAATTATCGCTGTTCCGTATTGTCTATGTGTGTGTGTGTGTGTGTGTGTGAGTGTAACTGGAGTGTGTGTGTGTGTGTGTATGAGTGATACCAAAGAAAAAATAACATATACAAATATATGCATACATTTCTATCTAAGCTGGGAAACCAGATTGGGAAGCATATAACAATAAATGTTTTTTTTTTTAATCGATTTTATATTTATGTAGTTTTTGTTATCTATCACGTTAGCCTTATGATGGGCACTGTTTTTATTTGGAACTCTAATTAGGTTAGCAAAAACTTGTAAAAGACACACATAATTCTTCTGCCTAGGGCAGGATTGCCAATCATTTTGTTTGAAGGGAATGCGATATTTACATAGACTGTGTAACACTATGTCAGGACTAGGAATCCATTCGACTGCAATCCCACTTTGGTAGATTGAGGCCTCCAAATAGAGAAAACTATTTGTTCTTTTCCAAATCTTAACTGATTTTAATGATCGTAAGGAGGAGAGCTTATTAAACATTCAACAAATAATGTTACAAATAAAACATTTTGACCTAAAAACGAATATAACGATCTCTAAAATCGGTTGACATGTGATAAGAATCTTTTATAAACCTACCAAGAATGATGTCTATCTATAAGGTTACAGGCTTGCCCAATTTGGCTACATAATGTGATTTTGGGCATATCTAGATTTTCATCCAAGACAAAATAGACACTGTTTGACACACTAGATCATAAATATTTTCATGTTCTTGCGACATTTATTTTATTTATTTATTTATAGATTGTATCTTTCTAATTATTAAATATATAAAATTATGAAAATAATTCCAAACGCCTAACTAGAATACACAATTTTCTAAACACATCACCGATCGATGGGTCTGTTTTATTTGCCATTTCAAGTCTCTAGCTCTTATAGGTTATGTTATCCTTGCGTTCCTACATACGGACAGACAGACAGGGAATTTATATACTTTATGGGGTCAGAGATGGTTCGTTCTGCCTGTTACATACATTTTCATAAATCCATTATACCCTTTTTATCCATTTTTAATGGGTTCTTTCTTTATTATAAAGTTAATAATGAAGTAATGAAATTTATAGCCTGTCCGGCAAGATATGCCCTGCTCATAGTCATAGCTGGGAATGGTCAGTGTGTTCTTGAAGATATCCTGAAAGCAACGATTTCATGAGGGGGAAAGAAAGTTTGGTGGCTAAACGAGATACAAACTATTGTAATTTATGCATAACACGGTAATAGAATTGAGTATAGCGTTATCTGTTGTGCACGTTGGTTGGGATAAGAGGCCAACTATCAACTAATAGGAAGACAACACCGAGGGTTTTTCTAGGGTTGGTTAACGACGGAAGATCAAGAAGAAGAAGCCTGCTGGTATAGGAGGGCAACCGAAGATTGGGGTCCCAATTGAAACCTCGTAAGGCAAAAAGCTGATCCTGACTATAGTTATACTGCGGAGACCAGATGCATGAGCAGTATTTAATAATAGGGCGAACAGAGAGAGAGAAGAAGGATCGTTAAGCTTTTTTAACCAACGTTTAATGAATCCAAGTACACCTTTGGCCTCATCAACAATGGTAGCTATATGTAGATTAAAGCAGAGCTTAGAATCAAACAGAACAACTAGATCCCTAGACAGACGGAAAGGGCAAGTGCAAAGATTGTGACTCTAACCGGTGATTGGGTGGAGACTCGAATTTATATTTGCTGCGAAACTCGAGTCAAAGTTACTCAAGAGCTGCTTAGCCACATTGTTAAGTTTAAACGCAAGCCACCGCAGCCCTTCTTGGCAATGGCAGCGATCTCGTCGCAATCCCGCCCAGTGAGACCTGTACATCTTCAGCCTGCTTGAATGTGCTTGGTTTCTTACAGCACGACATGTTTTTTAACGGGGTTAAAGTTAAGCAGAAGTTGCGAGAGCACAGAGCGAAACGCTCAAAAAATATTCGTACACAATCAAATTATTGCTTCGAGCAAAAGGCAACAGAACAAATTTGTGAGAACGCGATGCCAAGCCACGTTCAATAAATGCAATAATTAATAAAATTACGCTACACAACAAATAGCACTTTGTACAAGTAATAAATGCTTTTTAGATAAAGCACAAAAAATTCAAAATTTCGAAACAAAAAGCAGGTTGGAAGCTCTAAAATATATAAAAATCTTTGAGCACAAGTAAAACACGTCATTCACTCTCAACTGAGAACTCTCTCTATACTTTCATATTTATAGAAATGGAGCTGAAGTACTTAACTATATATTGAAGTAATTGTACGTTTCTTGAATTTAGTTTTTATCTTCAATAACATTATTAATGGCTTCTCATGCTTGCTAATAATATCATCTATCTGCTGTTGGCCGATGCATTGTCGGCCCCGGATACTTGTTTTCATATTACCTTGACTTTAGGTCAGGGCAACTGGCGGCTATAAACGACCTTAGTCAACCGCATTGTGTTCCCCTTGGGTTCCTATTGCCTGGCGTTCACGCGTGACTGGGCGAGCGGTGGGTTGCATGATGAGGCAGATGTTGCAATAATTTGAATAATTGACCTGGCATTGAACCAGATTTACAACTGCAAAGAATTTTCACGCCACGCCCAAGTCACAGCACAAATTGTGAATTTCAAGCACAGAGACTTAAAAGGCTTTTGTCTTTATCATATATATATATATATTTATATACATATATGTCTGATGTGTACCCATGTTTCCAAAAGCGTAGCTCACGCGCTCAGCGAGTGAGTCACCGACATCGGTTGCCGTCCGTCCGTTGGGCGCGTAGCTGGCCAGAGGAGTTTCTATGATTGGCTGCGGCTTGTCTGTGGCTGTCTTTGTTGTGGCTATTTAAATATGCAAGCGAAAACTTGTGTGTCATTGTCCTTTGTCACGTCAAGCAAGTTTGTATGTATGCTCTTTCTTATTTGGTTGGAGTCCTTAAACTATGTCAATCTGTTTGATTTGCATCTTTAAGCATTCAAGTATCGTTGTATGATCAAGTGCCTAAAATGTTATGTGTTTGTTGGTTCGGTTCACGGATCTAACTAACGATATGAATCCTGTGCTTTGGCTAGAGCATTGGTTCTGCCTCTTTTTTATATATTAAAAGTAAAGTTAATACCAAAGTATTCAAATATGTTTTTTTATTAGTTTTAACCTCGCAACGCAAAATGATGAATACATTTTTGGTGTCATTAAACCATTTAAGTTTATTGTGATTGAACATAAATTTGTATATATTGCCCTAATAATCAAGTTAGCCATTTAAATGGGAGAGTGAATTCGATATTCGGACTGAAAGCTTGCCCCAAAAGCGTGTAGAACTTATCTAGTTATGGTTAGCCAAAATTTGTTCCTTGGACACATTTTATTTATGTAGTCGGCCAATAGAATTTCAATGATCGGATCACACTGATTTTCGGAACTCACAATTGTTGAAGGAAACCAGTTGAAATTTCAAAAAATAAAATATAATAAAAAAAAAAAAAAACAAAAAAGTTGCTTTGCTTTTGTAGTCTCTCAAAATTGAATGTATCGCATACATAAAAAAAACGAGTACGTACTTACAAATGAAACACAACAAAAACGACAAATAAACAGCCGAGAGAACGTCTTGTATTTTCGCGAGATTCGCGGGTGTGTTATATATATTTAAGACGCTTTGTTTACGTTCTGTCAATTAGATTGTTGAATGTTAATTGTTTTATATGGTTTGGTGAGACTTGTAATAATGGCGCCCAAGTTGATAGAAAAATTTAAAACCTATCTCAGGTTGTTGCATTCACACACGCACACACAAGCACACCCAAACACGCACACACAAACACACATACGTACACACACACGTACACGCACACACAGACATGCATATATTTAACTATAATTTACTAATCCATCCTTTAAACATTCTCTTTCCAGTGGCGGTGGTCCACAGACGACAACTGCCGGTCCATCCGCTGGTAATGTGGCAAATGCTACCCTTGCCGGTGGTAAGAGCACAAGCAATAACATGTATTCCACCCGCCAATCTGTAAGCACCACGACCGGTGTGCTTATGGTCGGACCAAATTTTCGTGTCGGTAAAAAAATTGGCTGTGGTAACTTTGGCGAATTGCGTTTAGGTAAGTTCTCTCTCTCTCTCTCTCTCTCTCTCTCTCTCTCTCTCTCTCTCTCTCTCTCTCACTCTCTCTCTTTGTTATTTAATATTGGGTGAATATGTTTGGCACAGATTAAGTTGTCGCTTTTTTCAGCTAAATTGAGATAGGGATTGGTTTAAAGTATTTCAAAATCAGGATCAAACTGATTTTTGGGAACAAAGTTAAATTATGTTCGCGATAACGACCAGACCTAACGTATACGAATAATCTTTTTCCAATGCATTCCTTTTTGGTAGTACTACTATTAATAAAAACACTGATATAATATTAAAACAGTTGGAGCAGTAATCCGTCGTGATCCGCGGGAAATGCGGGTTCATGTTAAGAACCCGACCAGCGTTTGGCGAGATCCGCGATTTCTAATATATCATATAGCTGGCGTAGAAAGAATCTATCGAAAATAAAGTTTGTGTCTATAATAATTTTGTATTGGAATAGAGCTTCTTCTAACTTGCTACGTTTGTTTCAAAGAATATTTGTTTATAGTAATTATTCTCAAGAATCAAATGCGATACGAATGAAATGTGGAACTTGAGAATCACGGAGAAGCGACGTCAAGTGAAATTTGAAATGCTTGCTTTTTAAAACTGTAAATGAACAAAAAAAAAAAAAAAAAGAATGCCGAGAGAACTTGTGCACGAGGCACACTTTTATTCAGTCAGTGGGACAACATAACAGTGTCTCGACTTATCAAATCTGAATAAAATCTTGCATCATTAGTCACTGCATTTTACTGCACCTTGAAGCCCCACGCCAAGAAAGTTGATTGCGAGAAACGTGCGTCTCATAACTGTGAAGAAGTTGTAAATTATGTTTATGACTCAAGCAAACTATATTTGCCTCTCTCGCTCTTTTGAACACGACGAAGTTTCACGACGAGTATTTTTGGATAGCCATTTTCGTTACTTCCTTTGCATGTGCATTCCTTTTCATGGCTGCCAAGAGCACAGAATGACGAGAACAAGACTGAGAACAACAACCACAGACCACAATGAGAACTTTTTTTCACAATACAATATATAACGCCATTCCATTTTGCCATCTGTTTTGTCGTCGTCGTCGTCGTCGTTGCTGCTGTTGTTGTTGTTGCAGTTGTTGATGTTGTTGTTGCAGTTGGCATCGCCACTTTTGCTTTGTTTGCTAAATGCGCTTTTATAAAATTGTGTTTTTCTTGTTGCTACTTCTTTTTTTTTGTCTTCTGGGCTTGCCACTTCCTTTTATGCATTTGCATGCATCTGTTGCAGCTGTTGTTGTTGTTGTTGTTGTTGTTGTAATTGTCATTTTGCCAACAGGTAGCTAAGCCAACGTCCAGTGCTGCTGAAACTGTTAAGCAGCTATAGCCGCGTCCCTATGAATAACAACTAATTGCATCCGCCCCAACTTTGTATCTCGTTTTCTTGTTCTCTTACTTATTATTTAAAACGCGCTTTTTGTAAAATTTCTTTGTCTCTTTTTTATTATCCTCAGCAAGGTAATCTTTAAATGTCTGGGCTATGGTTTTTGTTTTCATTTCGTGCTCTATATGCATGTATTGATGCATGATTCACACTGCGAGCTCTTTAGCAGATATATGTGTGTGTATATGTACACTCAATTATACAAATAGAGACTTTAGAAAAATCTGTGTTTAATTAGCACTTGTGTACATGGTGTTATACATTTAACGATTTAGTTTTCTGTTCTGTGCTTATCTAAATAAGGGAACGTGCACCTTTTCCATATCCGATTAAAAATGGGTACAGGGGTATATTGTATTTGTGCAAAATCCAAATGTATGTAATAGGCAAAAGGAAGCATCTCCGACCCCATAAAGTATATATATTCTTGATCAGCATCAATAGCCGAGTCGATCTAGCCATGTCCGTCTGTCTGTCCGTCCGTCCGCCTGTCCGTCTGTCCGTCCGTCCGTCCGTATGTATGAACGCAAGGATCTTTGAACCTATAAGAGCTAGAGACTTGACTTTAGATGTAGATGCTCCTAGCTTCCGCGCAGATCGAGTTTTTTTCCGATAATCGATAACTTGCTCCGTTTCCAAGCAATCGATAAAAATCTATATCGATATCCTGTTTTTTGGGCAATTTTGGTAAATAATAAGAGCTAAAGTCACCAAACTTGATATATAGCTTTTAAAATAGAATATATATATGCATTTGATGTTGGAAGAAGAGGGTTCAGGGTATCCCCTAGTCGGGAGCTCCCGACTAGAACCTCTTTATGGTTTTCCCTCTAGATTAATCTGGCATTCAAATCTGAACACGGATTTTTTGGTCGAAATTCATGTCCAAATCTTACCCCAAGGTTCATATATAGACATGGGTCAAAAACGACCACTCCCATAACTCGGCCAAATCGAACCCGATTTTCACGAAGTTTGGATTTTTCTTATGGTTTTCCCTCTATATTAATGTGGCATTCAAATCTCGAGACCGATTTTTTGGTCGAAATTCATGTCCAAATCTTACCCCAGGATTCGTATATAGACATGGGTCAAAAACTACCACCCCCATATCTCGGTCAAATCTCATCCGATTTTCACGAAGTTTGGCTTTTTCTTCATGGTTTTCCCTCTAGATTAATCTGGCATTCAAATCTGAACACCGATTTTTTGGTCGAAATTCATGTCCAAATCTTACCCCAAGATTCGTATATAGACATGGGTAAAAAATTACCACCCCCATAACTCGGCCAAATCTCATCCGATTTTCACTAAGTTTAGATTTTTCTTCATGGTTTTCCCTCTAGATTAATCTGGCATTCAAATCTGAACACCGATTTTTTGGTCGAAATTCATGTCCAAATCTTACCCCAAGGTTCATATATAGACATGGGTCAAAAACGACCACTCCCATAACTCGGCCAAATCTCACCCGATTTTCACGAAGTTTGGATTTTTCTTCATTGTTTTCCCTCTAGATTAATCTGGCATTCAAATCTGAACACCGATTTTCAGGTCGAAATTCATGTCCAAATCTTACCCCAAGATTCGTATATAGACATGGGTCAAAAACGACCACTCCCATAACTCGGCCAAATCTCACCCGATTTTCACGAAGTTGGATTTTTCTTCACGGTTTTCCCTCTAGATTAATCTGGCATTCAAATCTGAACACCGATTTTTTGGTCGAAATTCATGTCCAAATCTTACCCCAAGGTTCATATATAGACATGGGTCTAAAACGACCACTCCCATAACTCGGCCAAATCTCACCCGATTTTCACGAAGTTTGGATTTTTCTTCATGTTTTTCCCTCTAGATTAATCTGGCATTCAAATCTGAACACGGATTTTTTGGTCGAAATTCATGTCCAAATCTTACCCCAAGGTTCATATATAGACATGGGTCAAAAACGACCACTCCCATAACTCGGCCAAATCTCACCCGATTTTCACGAAGTTTGGATTTTTCTTCATTGTTTTCCCTCTAGATTAATCTGGCATTCAAATCTGAACACCGATTTTTAGGTCGAAATTCATGTCCAAATCTTACTCCAAGATTCGTATATAGACATGGGTCAAAAACGACCACTCCCATAACTCGGCCAAATCTCACCCGATTTTCACGAAGTTTGGATTTTTCTTCACGGTTTTCGCTCTAGATTAATCTGGCATTCAAATCTGAACACCGATTTTTTGGTCGAAATTCATGTCCAAATCTTACCCCAAGGTTCATATATAGACATGGGTCAAAAACGACCACTCCCATAACTCGGCCAAATCGAACCCGATTTTCACGAAGTTTGGATTTTTCTTATGGTTTTCCCTCTATATTAATGTGGCATTCAAATCTCGAGACCGATTTTTTGGTCGAAATTCATGTTCAAATCTTACCCCAAGGTTCATATATAGACATGGGTCAAAAACGACCACTCCCATAACTCGGCCAAATCTCACCCGATTTTCACGAAGTTTGGATTTTTCTTCACGGTTTTCCCTCTAGATTAATCTGGCATTCAAATCTGAACACCGATTTTTTGGTCGAAATTCATGTCCAAATCTTACCCCAAGGTTCATATATAGACATGGGTCAAAAACGACCACTCCCATAACTCGGCCAAATCTCACCCGATTTTCACGAAGTTTGGATTTTTCTTCATTGTTTTCCCTCTAGATTAATCTGGCATTCAAATCTGAACACCGATTTTTTGGTCGAAATTCATGTCCAAATCTTACCCCAAGATTCGTATATAGACATGGGTCAAAAACGACCACTCCCATAACTCGGCCAAATCTCACCCGATTTTCACGAAGTTTGGATTTTTCTTCATGGTTTTCCCTCTAGATTAATCTGGCATTCAAATCTGAACACCGATTTTTTGGTCGAAATTCATGTCCAAATCTTACCCCAAGGTTCATATATAGACATGGGTCAAAAACGACCACTCCCATAACTCGGCCAAATCTCACCCGATTTTCACGAAGTTTGGATTTTTCTTCATTGTTTTCCCTCTAGATTAATCTGGCATTCAAATCTGAACACCGATTTTTAGGTCGAAATTCATGTCCAAATCTTACTCCAAGATTCGTATATAGACATGGGTCAAAAACGACCACTCCCATAACTCGGCCAAATCTCACCCGATTTTCACGAAGTTTGGATTTTTCTTCACGGTTTTCCCTCTAGATTAATCTGGCATTCAAATCTGAACACCGATTTTTAGGTCGAAATTCATGTCTAAATCTTACCCCAAGATTCGTATATAGACATGGGTCAAAAACGACCACTCCCATAACTCGGCCAAATCTCACCCGATTTTCACGAAGTTTGGATTTTTCTTCACGGTTTTCCCTCTAGATTAATCTGGCATTCAAATCTGAACACCGATTTTTTGGTCGAAATTCATGTCCAAATCTTACCCCAAGGTTCATATATAGACATGGGTCAAAAACGACCACTCCCATAACTCGGCCAAATCTCACCCGATTTTCACGAAGTTTGGATTTTTCTTCACGGTTTTCCCTCTAG